TAATAATACTATAGTTAAAACTAATATTTGTAATTAGAGCTAAATATTAAACTGTTATATTCTTGTAAACTTTATTTAAATTCTAGTACCTATTTTACTAACATCTTATTTATTATTTTCTATTAGCTCTTTTACTTAAAACTAATAGAATTTTTCAAATTACTAATCTATATTGACTGATAAAGTATATTTATGTATTTTTTTTTTAGTAATTTTGGTAATATAGTTAATATATATGTTTTTCTTATATATTTATCATTTAGTTTATTTATTTATTTTTTTAAAAAATATTTATAAGTTTTTATTAATTTAATAATATTATCAAAAGTTTGTATTGTTTCTTTACTTAAAAATTTTCAAGTAGGTTTTTGTCTTTCCAGTTTCTTGGTTTTTTATATCTAATAGTTTTATTGTAAATTTGTATTAAAGTCTTATACATATTAGTAAATATTCTTTTATATTTATATAATGTTATATTTTGCATAGATGTCTCAAGCTTTTAATGTTAAATAGAACCTAACTTAATATATTTAATATTACAAATTTATTAATCAAACTAATTATTAAAACTATTGTTATAATATAAATTAATTTTTAAATTTTTATCATTTATAAGATTTGAATACTATATTTGCTAATTGAAAGTCAACAACTTATTTATTATATCAAATTATTACATTTAACTAAGCTAAATATTTTATAATTCAAAATAAACTTTTGTATAAAAAAACATAAAAAACTATAAATAAAATATTTTAAGTTATTAAATAAACTCAAATAAATTTTATTTTATATAATTTAAAATATTTTTAAAATTAAAAAATTTTAGATTTTATACAATTTGAATTTTTATAAATAAATTGCAAATATATTATTAATAAAAATTGTTATTTTTTATATAAACTAAATATTATATTAAAAACTATAAGCAAATAATAACAATTTTAATATAGTGATTAAATTATTATTCTTTAATTAATAAATTCAAATTCTACTAACTGTAAATTTTAGAAAAATTAATTTTATTTTAACTTATTTATAATCTAAAGTTTATAATTCTGTAATTCTAATTATATTAAAACTAATTATTTTTTTTTTGTGTTAAAGGTCATACTTTATGACAGAACTTTATTAATTTTTATTAGAATTAGTTATTACAACTATTTTATACAAAGATAAGAGTACAACTAGTCATATATACAACTTTTGGTTGCTTATTTAAGTAATATGGTTTAGAGTTCTATACTAGATATCATATTTATAATCTACTAAAAGATTATTTATTTAAACTTTTTGATCATCTATTCTGTTATAATGTAACACTATTATACTTTCTATATATACTTAACCAGTATACTGTCTGAGCAGTATGGTATTTATTCTTTTTGTATTAGTTTTTAGGTTATTATATATTCAAAATACAACACCTGCCAGTAAGATGCAGAAGACTTCTTTTATTAATTACCTATCTATTTTACAGACTATTAATAAGAGCTACTTTTGCAAAGTTCACCTAAACTCTAACAGTGACTTTATAGCATATCTTTAGTACTTTTAGTATATTCTTGTTTTTGTTTTTAGACTTTCAATTCAGATAGCCTGAAAGAACTATAATCTGTCTTTAGTATATTAAAACCAGCATAATATTTTTTTCTTTAGTTTGAAATCTAATAGCCTAATTGATAGTACCTCTTATATGAGGTTTTTATCTGTTTTAATTTCTTTATATTAATATCTATTTCCTAGATCTAATCTTTATAATAGTACTGTTAAAAATCCGTGCTACTTTCTACTTAGTATTTTTAAGTAAGCTCTAGTTTTTTATAGTTTTATAAATTTATATAACTATAAGGACTTATCTTAGATTTGCATTATCTAGTACTAGTTTGCATCTCTTTGTATATACAAATGCTCTGTAATCTGTTAATCATATTAGTGCAATTATAATTATCTTATTTTAACTGATCAACAAAATACTGTTATTATAATACTGTCTATATATTATATAGATAATATCTAAATTTTTGTTATTAATAAGTTTTAATTCACAACTTACACTTAGAAGATTGACAACTTATCTACTTCACTAAGTTAGTATACTTTTTTAAATCTAATTTTAAACTATACAATATTATATAAATAAATTCAATATATATATATAAATAAAAAATCTGTTAAAAATTCTAAATAAAAAAATAGTACAATCTTTAATACAGTCTATCTTCATTTATATCAACTTATTTGAATTAGTTTTAAATTATATTGATAGTAATATTAACAAAAGATTATATTAAAGTTAATATATGTAAAAGAATTTTAATATATAAAAATTTATAAAAATTTAATTTGTAACTTAGATTAATATTAACAAAGTTGATATTAACAAGAGTTGACTGTAATATTATTTATAAAAATTTTAATTCAAAAAAAAATCTAAGATAAATAACCTGTATAAACAAAAACCTTTAGATAAAGAGTATCACCAATCTGACTACTAATTAATTTAAAATCATATTATGCAATACTAAATAATATAAATGAATTTGTAAAAAAAAACAAAATACTGATAAGATTATAAAAAGATATATTAAAGTTGTATAAATTTTGTAAAGGTTAAAAACTAAATTAACTGTAAACTAAACTATAAAAAACTTTAATAAATTTATTTCAAAAATAAATATGTTTTAAAATTAATGATAATAATCCAAATTATAAAAAAAACAAAAACCAATAAAATTAATATAAGAGATCAAAACTAAAGGTTTAAATAAAACATTGAGAAAGAAATGTTAAGTATAACAATTGGTAAAGAACCTTTGAATAGATTTTTTTAAATAAGTAATATAAAAAAATTATATATGTAAATAAAAACCCAAAAGGTTACCTTAACACTCACCCAAAAAAAAACTTTTATTTTTAAAACATTATAAATCTTTGTATTCTGAAAATAAAGATTTAACTGTAATAAAAATTAGTTTAAGATCATACAAACTTAATAAATTAGTTTTTATAACATAAAATTTTCATAAATGATCCAGCAATCTGACTTTTAATTTTATTTATAAAAAAATTTTTTAAAAAAACTTATCAAATAATAAAAATGCTTGAAATTTTTTTTGAGTTTTGTAAATTTTGATCTGGCCGAGTTATGAATGGCCTAATTAATAAAAAATAGGACTTTGCAAATACCCATGCCAAGCAAATTGGCACTATGCCAGGCACTAGTACCTCATGCCATGCCCATATCTATAGGCTCAAAAGTGCCAGAAATTATTATAAGCATGGGCACAAATGCCAGGCATTTTTATAATCATGAACACAAATGCCAGGTACTTTATAGGCAAAGGCACAATATGCTAGGCAAAAAGATGCCAAAAAGTGCCAGACACAAGTGCCAAATAGTACTAAACATATAATTAATTAATAAATAAAAAATGTTTGTGTTCATGCTCATGCCCATGCCAAGTTTTTGTGCTTGTGCCCATGCCTATGCCAAATTTTTGTGCCTATGCCCATGCCTATGCCATATTTTTATATTAGCATTCATGCCTATGCCAAAGCTTTCATGTTCATGCCCATGCCTGAATTTTTGTTGGGCATAGGCACGAGCCCAGGTTGCAGACCCCTAATAAAAAATCATGCTTGTTCGTCACAATAAGGTTCAGCGCATTGAAATTTAAATATAAAATTTGATTTCTTGTTTTCGATTGTTTTTCGTATTTTATTTTTTTTTTATTTTTAAAATTAACGATTTTAATTTCTCAGAAGTGATCTGCAGCCCGTGTAACAGAACAAATTCTGATTGTGTAACATAAAGTAACAACTTTTTTTTCGAACTTTTTTTTTTTTGATTACAACATCAAGGTAATTTTCAAGTATCCATTGCTTTACTAATGAATATTTTATTAACTACAATTTGCATGAAATTTTTAGCAATATAATTCGCAATGGCACAACGTCTCACATATAGGCGTCGCTTGAGCTATAATACCAGATCAAATAGAACCAGAGTAATCAAGACTCCTGGTACGTTTGTGAAAGCAAATTGTGAAAATTATTATACATGGTTAGGTATAATTATAGATGAATGTTCTTATTAATAGGTGGTAAGCTTACTTGGCTATACGAAAAGAAACCTGCTAAAGGTCCTCATTGTGGTGACTGTGGGTGCAGGCTTCCAGGAGTATGCACTATAAACATTTTTATATACTGTTGGAAGTCTTAATTATTTTAGTTTTTAAAATGCTTCAATTCAACGTAGAGGCAAAATTTCATCGGTAACTTTATAGAACATCCCAAAAACAATGTTATAACAGAATTTTAAAATGTTTACTCTGAATTGACGCACTTAAAAAAATTGAAACAATAAGGCTTCCAGTTTATGTTTTTATAAACCGATTGATTATATAAATTATAATTTAAAGATTCCAGCTCTCCGACCTCGCCAATATGCACGAATTTCTAAACGTCAAAAGACAGTCCGACGAGCTTACGGTGGTAGTCGTTGTGCGAGATGCGTGAGAGACCGGTATTTATGCATATATAATTATGATTTATTCAACGTTTAACATATGGATTTTACTTATTATTGATATGCACACGATAGCATCGTTCGGGCTTTCTTGATTGAAGAACAAAAGATTGTTAAAAGGGTTCTCAAGGCTCAATCCCAATCCAAACCTCCACCCAAAAAATGATTTAACAAGATTAAAATCTTTTTATTGCTGCAGTTGTTTTTTTTAGATTCTTGCTGCTTATTCAAAGTATAACGCACAAATAATTAGATCTGTAACATTGGTCTATAAAACTTAATTCACATTCCAAACACTAGACCTTTCAAAATGGTGATAAAATTTTTACATCACAATTAGTGAAAAATTGTTCACAATGGTAAAACAAAAATCTAAATATATATACACTATAGTATTTGTGCAGAATTTAACCGTAAACTTTGTAGAGTTTATGTATTTTTTTTTAAAGGATTATTTGACATTTATAAGTTATAGTTTACCAGTCACAAACGGATGCATCAGTGCCTCTTTCACTGTTAACCGTTTTTCAGGGTTCAAATTTAAACACTTATCTAACAAATCGACGAAAGCCGTCAGTAAACGCAACTCTTCATCGGTCATATGTGACGTTTTAGAGAGAAGGCGTGTTTTTAAATCGCGAGTTGGTTTTGTAATGATGGTGGTCTTTACAACCTCCTAACATATAAAAGTTAATATCGAAAAAGTTTAATTAATTACTTAGCATGCAAGGTATACAAACCTTATTACTAATCCGATCTGTTTCTCGATACAAGAAATTATAATCGTCATCAAAATGTTGTTTTGTGAATTGCCCCTTGCGAAGATTCTTATTCGGAAATTTTCCTTTCAGTTCCATCATGAGTTTCAGCATTTGGTTGTTGCTTCGTCCTGGAAAGAGAATTTTACCGGTGTAAAGTTCGTATAGAGTACAGCCAACTGACCACATATCCAATGCACAGTCATAAGGTAGCCCGATAACTACGAATCATTTTAATGAGTTATTATTATCAAGCGTGTTTATAGCAATATAATATGAATAATACTGTAATATACTCATAACTTACTTATTTCGGGAGCCCTATAAAATCTACTAACAAGGTAAGGCGTGATATCATTTTCTGACGCATCGGAAGCTGAACCAAGATCACACATTTTGAGCGTATTTTTTGATTCACTCACCTAAAAAATGTAGATTTCAATAACTATCCTAAATAGCGTTGACGAAAGCGATAATCACCTACCAATATATTGTCAGGCTTGATATCAGCGTGAAGTATATTGCATTTTGACAAAAGGGATAACGATAAGAATAACTGCTGTGCGTATATACGAACAGCCTTGATGTTTATACCAACATCCTTTCCAAATTTTTTCAAAACCTCTCTTAAATTCATACTAATATTGACAATAAAGGCAAATAAGTGCATTGGTTTTTTTCTTTGCTAAAGAAATTTATAGTAATGAGTTACCTTAATGATTCAAATACTAGGCATAAGTGCCCTTTATGCTCGAAATGTCTAAACAATCGAATTACATGCTTTTTATTTTCTGGATCAGATTGCATTAATTTTTTAAGAATGTTTAATTCTTTTATACCGGCCCGATACCTAAAAATCAAGATACATTTTAATAAATCTTTACTATACAAGTAAAACAAAACACAAATATAATGTTAGATAATACATTGTTTCGTTGTTTCTGATAATTTTTATAGCTACATCTATTCCTTCTTTTGTATCTTTAGCTTTGACGACAGAACTGAAAACACCCTTGCCAAGATGACTATATACGTGATATCGATTGTCAAGCATTTCACCTAACAAAACGCCTACGAAAAAATTATTTGTGAGAATTATAAATAATCAAACAATTCACTGTAAAAAAAAAAAAAAAAAAAAAAAAGCGTACGATAATATCCTTCGGCATCATCATAATTGTCTACAAGACCGGTGGCATGATTATGCATAACCACCGGAACGTTTTTAACAGCCTAATTAATAGTAATGAATAGTAATTAATGATATTAATAAAATGTTTGACTAAAAAAAGAAAAAAAACAAATATAAAAAAATAAAAATAAATAAAAATAAAAATCAATAATGATAATAATATGAATAATGAGGCTTGAAACAAATCTTACGGGTATTGATTTCGCGGTTTTTTTCGACTCTGGTGAAGGAATCGCTATATCATCATCCGCAAACATGTCAAATTCATCACTCGCTTTTAAATTATTAACTTTATGATCTCCATTACTTTCATTTAAAGTTTCTTTATAATCAGCTGCAGACATATCAACGTCATTTTCATCCCGTTGAACGACAGATTCTTGAGCATCTTTGTTCTTGAGCAATTCTAAGTCCTTGGCAGATTTATGATGTAATTGCCTTTCATCATCCGCTATACGGTCTTTCGTTGGGTCGTAATCTGCAGCAGAAAATTGATCTTCCCCAGGAACAAAATCATCAATAGAAGGTTCAACTTTAGTTAAAGAGAACGATGTTGGTGATGCAGTTGTTGGTGTAACCGGTGAAACTACAGTGGGTGTGCCTGATAAATAAATTTAATAAATGATACAAAACATAATATAAATCGTTTGAATTGAAAATAAACACAAACCAGTCGTTTCCTGTTTATGTTCCGTCAACTCCATTGCCGTCGACCCTGTTGAGGAAATTTCATTATTCTTATTTTTATATTTTTCTAATATTGCATTACGACGTTTACGTCTTTCTTCAATTATTTTTTCATCATCTTCTTCTTGTTCAAGAACTATATCTGTGGGTTCATCCATAGGCTTTTCAACATTTGAGTCATTTTTTAAATGTGAAACAGAACCTTGACCATCCCTAAATCGTTTAATAAATAGGCAATGTAGGATTAATTTTAATAAAAAAAACATAGACTAACAGATGTAAATAATAAATAATTACTTGAGGATTGTACCACTGGGAACAGCATCATCTATTTCATATTCGATTATTCTTCGCGACGAATGTGAGCCGTTAACTCTGTCGTCATACCGCCTACTTCTTTCTTTATCGTAACCTCGTTCACTACCATGACCTTCGATTCTTTCTCTGCTATATCCTACTTCCCTTTCGTAACCTCTCAGAGTTTCTCTCTGTCCATAACGGTAATCACGATCACTATCGTATCGACTGCGAGACTCCTTGCTTCTTTGGCTCGCACTATGCCGTCGTTCACTGTTATGAGAAGAATGGCGATGGGAGGATGAGCGGTGATGACCTTCATCGTCAGAAGAAAGATCTTCCCTACTACGTTTAGATTTGCGGGAAGAGGCAGCAGAAGGTTCAATACGATTGGTGGAGACATCGCTACGATTTTCGTCGTCATCGACGACCATATGGTCGGTCGAGTTTAAGTTGTTACCTAAACCATCCTTACGGTGTTTGTCACCTTCTTCAACTCCATTTTTTCGACTATAGTCATGACGTCCGTGGTGGCCATGACGACTACGATCTCGGTCATGATGGCGACGATGGCTGTGGGAATGTTTGCTAGAATGTCGATGTCTGCGTTCCTCTCGGTGCTTACGATCTTTCTCGCTGTGGCTAGCCTTCTCCCGACTACTTATTTCCATTACAGAGTCGCATTCACGGCTTCCAGTACTTAGCCTACGATCCTTTAACGAATCCTCGGTACCTTGACTCTCAGGTGAAGGCCGACCTGGACCCGATAGAGCGGCTAATCCATTGGTAACCTCTTCGATATTCCGTCTGCTTCCGGTATCATCTTCACTGTCAAAAGTTCCAGAGTCGTCAACAATCTCACCTTCTTCTGTTTCTGACAGTGTTGTTTTTGTATCCATTAAGACCATTTGTTTTTTTTTGTTTTTTTTTTTGATGTTTTTTTTATATATTATATATATAAATTTTAAACCAATTTTACAAGAAAGATTGAAAAAAAAAGATCAGAATTTATAATGGGCTTTCAAACACAAAGAAAAGAAAAAATTTGGTCCAAAGTCACAAACTGAATGCAGTAAACCGTTAGTTATAACCCTTAACGTTAAGAGAAACAAGTTGGTTTGAGTGTTTTAGTGGCAACTGACATGATTCCTACGTATTTACTTGAATTAGTGATCAGATTGATCAGATAACAGATAACGAGTGGTCAAAAAAAAAAAAACCAAAATTCATTGGTTTCCATAACGATAGCCCAGCTGGGTCAAATTTTGAAAACTTTTAATAACCGGGTGGGTTTTTTATAAAACTTTTGTATATCGATATGCATAAATTTAAGATATTAAATTTGTATGGCCTAATAATAAATATAGTGAACTCTCGATTTAAGTATAGTGAAGAGCAGTTTATACAAAAATTCACTCGATATAGTGAATTTGTCCAAGATTTACTAATAGGCGTGAAGACAACTTTACGGCCCATCACTTCACTATAACGAGAGTCACTTGTATATATACTGTAGAATTATGATGCAAACGCTTTTTCCCAGTCTTCAAAAAAAAAAAAAAAAATTTTATTTAATAAATGTGTTAAAGCTTGGTAAAAACGAGCCTGCTCGAAAAATTCAAATTTATAGCGACCCGATCGTCATATTTTGTTACTTTTAACTTCGTCAAAATATAACAAAAATAATTAAATTACTGGTGGGGTTTTTTGCTAGTACCAAATTAACCTCCGGAAACAGGCGGAATTATTGCAACTTCGTCACCGGGCTTCACCATTATCGATTCGTCATCCTTGTCAACATATTGCATATTAATTGCGAACATAGAATTTTCAAGAATTTTAACGAGATTTTCGTGACGATTGTTCAAAAGATTCGTCAAATCTTGAAGCGATAAAGATGAGCTGGTAGCTGGAATAGAAATTATTTCAGATGAAATGTTTATAGCGTCACGAGCAGAAGCAAAATATAAAATTGTAAATTCCTGTTTGTCAAATAATAAAAAAATTGAAAATTATATTTTTATTACAATATTAAATAACGATGTCTTCGTACGTTAAATTTACCTTTGACATGGTTTTCAGTAAGATCAGTAAGAGATGTTGTACATCACGACAAATAACTAGTAATTTGGCGGTATAAAATTGTGCCCCAGTAATATTGGCCAATCAAATATCATAACTAGGACATTCATTCAATTCGAGTCCAGGCTCAAACTCTGACTAGTGCAGAGGCCGGAACGAAATTAAAAAACTTAGTTAAATTGCGGGCCATACGGGCAGCAAAAATACAACTTTTTAGGCCCATACAGATCTCTATCCCAGCGTCATCAATTGTGCGTGAATTTAGATAACCCGGGTTTGCAAATTTTGTGGATTTCAAGAAAATGACTTTATTAGAATATTATCGTTATGCATAGTACCCTAGCCATGGCGAAAACGAAGTGTCGGATCATGTGACTTACGAAGCATCCGGTCTGATATCTAAAAATCAAAACAATCGAAGACAACATATAAATGAAAGGAAAAAACCATATATTTAGGGTTGTTTTCGTAAAATTTCACGTTATACCAGATATTGAATGCTGATTGGTGGTGTCATTTAGAGCGTCTGAAATCACATGACCCGACACCTCGTTTTCGCCATGGCTGGGGTACTTCGTTATGCAAATTTTACGAACACTCCCCTGACAAAGGTCACCAGAATTTCAATAACCTAATTTGATAACAATCATAACCTATATAAAACTTTTTTTTTATACAAGTAAAGTTGTTGATTATAATAATTAGCATATAATTTAAGTCTTGGAAATTTTAATAAATCTTTTGAAACTTATTTTTAGCATTTTTTTTTTTTTGATATTAAGGTAATCTTTTTGGTTCTGATTTTTTATTAATACTTATATCGGGTACATGTTTTATATAGACGTATCCATATTGAACTATCAGACAAGTGTACAACTGGTTACATATATAATTTTTTTATATTACTTATTTAAGAAGTTCACCTGAAGGTTTCTTACTAGTTGTCATATCTAACATCTCTGTTTAGATCAGTGTTGGCCTATGACCTGTTATGACCTATTGGCCAATTATAGGTTATAATCTTATAACCTGTTATGACTTATAAAATTTACTAATACATTATGACCACCTTGGTCATATAAAGTTGGATATGATCTAAAATGG